ACAAATACTGTTCCATTTGCATATACATTGTATATCAAGTGTTTAAAATTGATAATTTCAGGATATTATCCTTTCTCTGTTTCAATATATGGACATGAGCACCTATATGCATAGCTTTGATTTTTCAACTTTCATTTTTACCAAAGGTTATTTTATTAACAATATATATACAAACACATGGAAAATAACAATTAGTTTCACATAGTGATTAGAAGATTCCTGTAGCAGAATACCTGTAGGTATGTATTAATGAAAAAACTAGAAAAATACAGTCTATACGGAATATAAAGCCAGCAAAAATTTTCTATTAATATTCACTCCTCAGTGCCTCTATGCCTTTGATGACCTTACAAATGGTAAATTTTATACAACAAAAATAGTAAGTAATACCTAAGATAGACAGAAAAGAACAAATAATTTAGTAAACATGAGTTACTTCCCCTTAAAATAGAGAAAACCTGAAACCTAAAAGAACACCCTAAACAGCAAAATTACGAAATGTTGCAGGCTCAGTTTTATTAAGCCATGCAAAGTAATGGTAAAGTATTCATAAAAAGTAAGATGGCCATGTGACAGCAGTAATTGCAGAAAATCATAGCTTTCAACATCCGGATATGGTACACTTTGTAAAAACAATCATTCCGTGCAATAGATAAAGGTAATATGGATAAAATCAATAGGATAATCGTTTACAACACTTCCATTCCCAATCTTAATACTCATTTGCAGGTGAACGTTCTTCTTGTAGGAAAACTTTGAAAAAAATATAAATGAATGAAAAAGAATGCGTCATCAATGTAGACCACAACGATATTCGAAATCCGGGTTTTAGTATTGCCAATAAAGCTAAGGGACAAGCTGGTAAACTGAGCCTCAATTTCGTGAAAATAATATCACAATGCACATACTTTTAACATAAAGTTATTAAATAAAAATATAATAACATATTTGTTTACTTGATTTTTACGAATCAAAATAAAACTAATTAACACAACATGCCATCAACTGCTTATAATAACAGCTCCTTCCATAGACCAAAATTAAAAAGCATTCCATAAAAGATGACGCCGTTCACCGGCGTCGCCAATAATTTTCATTTAATATAATATCTATTGTTCCAGAATAGTAATTCATGATGATTTTTTGAAAAATCCTTATGCAAGATGCAAGACTGGATAGAAGGGAAATGGGAATTGTATTAAACAAATGCAATCTTCGCAAATTGTCGTGATTCTTTTGAAATGAACCGGGCTTTGCCGGGGCTCTACCGGTATCAACCGTAGCTCCATCGTCATCCTCCGGGGCTCTGCTGGCATTCACCGGGGTTGTGCCAGCATTCACCGGGGCTCTACCGTAGCTCTACCGGCTATATCATACCCCGGATCATCCTCGGTTTGTGCCGGTAGAGCTACAGTGCTTCCCCGGTGTAACCCCGGCTAAGGATGAAGCCGACAAAGCTTTACTTCCCGGATCATCCCGGACAACCCGGCTATATTAAATATTTTATTCCATCCGGGGTCGAATGCCGGATGTTTCCGGATCATCCCGGATGTTGCCGGCAGAGTTACGGATGTACCCCGTTTGTCCCAAGTCGTTCCCGGATCACCCGAACATCTACCAGGGCTCTGCCGGGATGTCAGTGACACTGTAGCTTAAAGCTGCAAACTCTGTTTGATTGAATCTGTCAATGAGATATAATTTAATGAAATTGGGTTATCATCTTTTAAAATTGCCTATACCGCTCGCTGATACGAAATAACTAGTGAAATTCTATATATATTAAGAGGATATTTTTTTCGTTTGCGTGAAATATGGAATATATTTCAAGAAACATTATAAAATGCCACATATTTTCACGAGCTACATAATAGGACAGGGAACCAGATTATGTTGAGATTTGTTCCGTTATCGGAATACCCCGCCTATTATCATTGAGTTACATTGTAAATGGCGGCGCCCGACTAGAACTGACACTGAAAATTTCATTGATAGGTATAGAATTCTATATTTTTTTAATTGTTTTTTATTTCATTTTCTTTTTAATATACACGGGTAGTCTATAGCCGGGCAAGCCAAAGCCCGGACCTGCTTTGCGGGCCCGGTCTTTGACTTCCCCGTATAAATAATGCTTTTGGAATTTGAAAAATTGATAGTCTTAGTTTGAGCATCATAGTTATTATATAAAACCATAACAATTGTGTTACAGGATCTTTAAGCATAAACTATAAAAATAAAAAATGTATAAGGTTAAAATTAAAGACTCATTTTGATCGAGTATGTCCATGAGAGCTAAATTAATGAAAGGGGATACAGTCTACGCATTAACCCAAGATTTCTAGTTTCACCCAAAATTTCATATCTTTGGCCAGTGATGACCATTTAATAAAATGGCTTGTCACCATACCACTGATAGCAGCACCCTTGAATGTTTGATGATCCTATCATATTTCAAGAATGTAAAAATTAAGCTGGAGGATATAGTTGAACATTTTAAATTAGATATAACGAAAACCTAGATTTTCATTTAGTTTTAGAGAAACATTAATGATGAAAATTTTTTAGACAAAAAGATTTTAGATTACTATCTTAAAATTAATTACATTGAAAAGGATTTTCATCACTTACAACTCACAATGAAAATACTTTTGTAAATTGCCTTTATATTATAGGCATATCATGCCTCGGTGATGAATATTTCTTTTCTGTATGAGAAGGAGCAAAATAATGTTTATTTTGACAAAAATAAAGGATATAAAGCATTTTAGATCAGAAAAAAAATGTAATAAAAGGTATCAAAATGTAAACAAAGTATTATTTCGACTTCCATACAGAATACTAAATCACTTAAACTATACCAAAAGAATAGAAAATAGTTCAGGTTATCCTTTAGGTTATTTTAAGGAAACCAAACTTGCTGGACAACAAAATAACAAGAACTGTCAGAGAAGACTTCACGGTCTTATAGTTATATACTGGACACAATAAACATGATAAAGGAAGATAAATAAATCTAAGAAAAAAAAATAGTCAATTATGACAAGATATAAATAAAGCCTCGTTACCGCCGTAAACAGTTACGCTCGAGCTAGAGATTCTCGTCTGTACCGACAGCCGGTGTTTGATGTCAATTACTTTCGGAACAGAAATTACGAAAACTGATATTCTCATTACGCATTTTTTTCTTATAGTAGCGTATGAACTTACAACTTCATTCATAACGGTAAGTGGAGTGATTTTGTCTTGTCAAGGTTATATTATAATTTGATGATTTGTTTTGAGGATATCTGTAAATATTGGGTGCTTTAGTTAAAGTTGTTTTTTCCGATGCTGATTAGATTTTGTGAAGGTTATATTGTTGGTTGAATGTTCGTGGTTTATACTGTATCTTAGAGTTGTAAACATTTTCATTTTGTGTTCTTCATTTTTGTCTGGATTTTATTGTTTTGTTTAAGTATATGTTGTTTAGAGCTCGGGCTCGCCATGTTTCTAGTATTGTTTCGTATAAAAGACGTATACGTGAAAAGATATTTCGTATAAGTGGTTGATAAATGGGTGTAAATAATCATCAGAGATCTTTGTTTTGTGTGTAGATAATTTATCAGAGTTTTTTGTTTAAATGTATATATATGGATTTGAGATAGAAAAAGATAAAAACACATAAGAAATAGTGTTAACTGAACAATTACATGCTCGTTTTTTCAACTAAGAATATTTCAATTTTAAGTCAGGCGGTGCTGCCCAGCCTTCATATCTTGGTAATTGGTTCTAGTATTTATCGCTAAATCTTTCATAAGATTAAATAACATCAAGGCAGTCATTCTCCTGACAGTGTTAACATTTTAACAATGATTCCATGCATGCTCCATCATTTCTTAGGAACATATAAAAACATATTTCTTTTACACAAGTATTTTGGAATTTAAAAAAAGTATTTTCGGTAGACAAATAGCTTTATACACCAAACCAAAGAAGATTATCATCATTCTCTGTTTTTATTTATTGACCATGTCATACATAGGATAAATGACACAGCATTTATCTAAAACTTAAAATTGTTTCAATGAATTATTGCAGAATATTTTGTAAATTAATGACAGAGCAAAGTGTTTTTAAAGCATGGTCATTCATATATCATTTGAAAGCAATATAATATATTAAATATTTGTTTAAACATACCGGTACTTATTTGATGTCAAACTAAATGCATTTATACTAAGAAACGTGGCTTGCGTTAGCGTCTTTACATGAACACGCAATTAATCTAAAGATTTATGCAATGTCAAATGATGACACGTTGAAAAGAAATATTGATTTCTTAACCTGCGCCACTTACCATTTGAAAATTTAGTTCAAGAATTGTGTCATTTGATGGTGCATCGATTTTAAAGTGCATCGATTTTAAGGCGCACTGATTTCTAGAGGATGTGGCGGTATTATCAATATCTGCAGCAAATTTATATGGAGAGATGTAAAACGGGAACTTCCAGACACAATCGGAACACCTCGGCTATTATAATGAAAATGATGATGATTTTATTAATAATGATAATAATGATGATAATGCTGATGATGATAATGAAAGTGGTGATGATGATGCTAAACATGATGCTAATAATGATATTGATGATGATGTTGTTGTTGATGATGATGATGATGATGCTATAAAGAATGATAATGATGGTATTTATGTTGTTGATGATGATGATAATGATGATATGAAGATGATGATGACGACGATTATGATGATGATAATAATAATGATGTTGATGATGATAATTATAATGATGACGACGGTGATGATATTGATGATGATGAAGGTTATTAATGATAATGCTAATGATGATGATAATTATGGTGATGATGATGATGATGGTGATGATGTTGTGATGATGATGATAATGATGATGATGATGAATACTAAAAACATTGTAACGTTTATGTTGTTTATTAAATATAAGTCTATTCCCTATTATAAAAAGATTTCAGATACACTATTAATTAGTATATAAAAATAAAAAAAACAACGTCTTTCATGTTTCAGGTATACACAAACTTTTTTACACCTGCATAAAATATATGGAAGAAAAGTCCATTGTCTTCCTTTAGGCTTGAATCAGTGACGTGTAGAATGATAAGTTTAATCGCCTTTGGACGCCATAAAAACCACTACTCCCGCGACGATTCCTATGATGCCAGCAATAATGCAAAGGGCAAATCCGGCATGCAAATTGCTCGAGTCCAAGCCGTCTCGAGTGGCATAAATTATTGTGCCGATGATCATGAAGATTCCTAAAATGAGAAAATGGCAAATATAGAATATGGTGAAATGGCAGATTAAAATTGACTTTACAAATCAGTCAATTTGAGTGTTTGAATAATTGACGTCAATGACGTCAATGAAATCAATGCCGTAACCTTTATTTACTGAATAACTAGCCCGTAAACTGTTGGCGGAAACAGGTTATACCAACGCGACCAGTGCATACCAAGCGTCGCCTGATCATGGTCAGCACTGTTCGCTATTCAGTTGGTACATTGTTTTTTTTTAATTTCCCAATAAACAACGAAAAATTTTGTTCAAAATTGAAATATGGAAAGTTTATATAAGATATTTAGTGAGGTAAGGGGTAGAACATGAAACACATTTGTTTTAAGAAAATACTCGTCAGTGTATGCCTAAACTTTAACAAAACTGTTTAAAAACGAATAATTTTCTTCTGCTGATATAATTACTGCGATGTGATTATAAATGATAAGTAAAATAACAAATTATCTTTATCTAAAAACGAGGATTTTTTTTTGCTTTTTAATATATTTCTTTTCATTCAATATACACGTCAAACAGGATACTAGCAATATATTGAAGTCCTTTTCAGTTGAAAATGAAGGTCAAAACTTATCATAAAATCGCTTTATAGTACATGTATACACAATAACACGGTAACGTGTCCAAGTACTTGAACTCTTAAGTAGTTTAATCAAACGCTTCCGATAACAAAATTTCTATTAAAACTAAATTAAGATCAATGTTTTTCTCATCGTTACTTTTTTTGTTTTCCGAAAATTTAATTAAACACACCATTAATAATGGTAAAAGAGTCTTAAAAGGGAGAATCAAAGAAAATATGAAATTATAAATTATTATAATTTTTTTATAAATATTTTGCATAGATTTTTCTTCTGTCTTTTATTACAAGGCTGAGATAAACAGAATAAATAGCAATAATAAGTTAAAAGTTTGAGTATTAAGTTCTTAGTAGACACCAGGAATGAAACTTTACATCTGTCTGAAGCGGCGCAGATGTTTTGACGAGATGGTAGTCAGTTTTGCAAGAATAAAAAAAATGACCCTATTTTTTACTTACCAGAAACTATGGCTAAACCTGCTCCGATTTTAGGAAGGAGTGCTTGGTCCTTTATGACAAACTGTTTAAGAAGAACGCACACAAGAGCCGCCAGTATTAAGAGCATGCCCAGTATCTCCATAGCTCGAGCTGCCTTAAAAGCGCCATCTATGATATAAAAGAATACAAGAAAATCAAAAGTTAATGTCTTTAAGCGAAACAGCATAATGAAGGCACACAAAACCCCTGCTATAAGCTGTTCCAAGCTGTTCTCGTCATTAATTGTTTTTGTTTTTCATGTTTTGGCTATCAAGTTTAAAATCTTATTATCCCCATTTCTAGCGATTTCTTACGATTTTTTACGATAACGATTATGTGGAATACCGTTAAGATTGTAGAAAGCAATATAGCAGCAGCAGCAGCAGCAGCAGCAGCAGCAGCAGCAGCAGCAGCAGCAGAGCAGCATCACAACACAAAAGAATTTATTGTGCCTTTAAGGATGGGTAAAAGTGGTCGCTTTTAAATTTTAGTAGGTCACGTGATGATGTGGATGGTTAATCTAAGAACATTTTTAAAGAATTAAGAATCTGTCATTACCCTAGAGATCAGAATGGAGGGGTGGTGACTAAACTATGGAAATTAAACGTTTTTTTTATTATAGTTTATAACAAAAAATATATTGTTATAAGTTAATTATAAGCACGTATGCAAGTATATCAAATGTAAAATTGTTAACCAACATATAAAATGTACAGTACTATATACTTAGTTTTAGTTGTTGTATAAATAAAATATAACAATGAAGCTATGGCTCTGAAACATAAATTTGTATTTCACAAATTAAAAAAATATTGTGTCAATAAATACCTAGAATGGCATCTGGGATGTCAATACAAACACTATTTCCGCCATCAGATGTACATGCCGACCATAATCCGTAATAGTGTTTCAAATCGCCTGCACTTACATAATTCCAATACGGTATTGCCAGCCCTATGATATTTATTAAAAGCGACGCGGCGCACAATACAATTCCGACAAAAACCAGCATTTTCTTTAACGTTTTTTCTTGATTAGTTGATTAGTCTTAACGTCCAAGCTACTAGCAATATTTATTTTGTATTACTGTTATTCTTAATTTATTATGTTCTCTTAAAAGAGCAGTTTCGAATACGATTATTCTGTCGCCCGCTCATGCAACCTAGAGAATGCCCGCCACAAAATGCGCGATCGAGTTTTAAGGTTACGACTTTTTACGCTTGTTTGGGCTTGCAGTTTATCGTCAAACTAGTAAACATCATCGTGAAATGAACGTTGTTAATTGTGGTAATATAACGAAACACCTGAAATTTCGCGAAATCTATCATTTTCCCATGGAATAGAGGGACATATAAGTTCATATGATGGTGTCATGTGTTAAAAAACACAGGTTTATCAAAGATAATTAAAGTCAACTCAATCTGGTACATAGAACTTCTATGTTATATTATGTCAAGGCTTTAATTTAACATAACACGTTCTTTTATATGGACCTGTATAAGTCAATTGAACAAAGAAAGATTTATATATGATAATAACTTTGAAATTGCCATAAAAACGATTTTATAAATCATGTATTAGTAGAATTTTGAATAATTTAATTATATGCTGAAATATTTTTGATAAATCATTTAAATGTATAGTCTCGTGTGTATATTTAAGCGTTGAGGAGATTTTAGCGAGTATCCGAGGCCTGATTGTACTCGGAAATTTTTCTGAATTAGTCTTTAAAATTTAAGTCAGTGGTTTCCATTACAGATTTGCACATTCAAGTTATATGTGCTTACAAAAAGGAACCCTTAAAATGAAAAAAATAAATTTATGTATGTTCGTTCGTCGTTTACAGTTTTCAATTTATTAGACAGGACTGATTTTGAGAATTTGGACCTCTATAAGATGCTAGAGGCATTTTGTAGTACAAGTGATATCTTGGTATATTTTACATATTTAGGGTATGCTGAATCCGATAAATGTGGATACCAAACTGAAAACTTGATCTTGACCAATGAAAAGGCAATTAAATGTGACCACTAAAATGACCGCCAAATTTCTATATCATAAATGGACAATATATCAAATTAAACTTTTAAAGATAGGGAAAGCTTGAAATTTGTTACAAAAAACAAATTAGACATCAAAACAGAATTTAAAAAAACCAATCCAAGATGGCGGACATTTTCTATAGACCAATTTAGGGGATGTAATATTAAATATAAAATATTATAAATATTAAAGATAATGCTGAATATTTTAATGCATTTAAGCATAAGAGACAGATAGTAGAATGCAAAAGATAGAAGTTTAGAAAGTCCTTACTCCTTTGAATCATCACTAAATTTAGGGTTTACGCAGTGACCACTACATTCTTGCATAGCAGACTGGCGTTTCCGTGAGTTTTACCCATGCCGGAAATTTCATCTTGCATGGGGGTGCCAGATGAGTCGCGTGCCAAACAACAACGTCATTTTAGCGCACTTTATGAATGAACCGCGTTAAAATGACGTCGTTTTAGAAGAAATATGTGCTTAGGATGACGTCATTTCGCCGTTGTTATTAAAGTTGTTAGTTCATACGCTATTGTAAGAAAATATATATGAACTGACTTTAATTTCCATGAACTTATATCATATTGAGGTAAACCATTTAAAATATGAAGTAATATCATGGCAGAATATCTGACATATGTTTGCGGTTCGAATCGGAATATCCGTCCCTCGAGAACCCGCCCAATGAGCGGGTCCCTTCGAAACGGATATCCGGTTCGAACCGCAACATATGACAGATATTATTATTACTCTTCCCTGCCGTATCTTCTAGATAGAGCTTTCAAGTATTTTATACGGCATTCTATGCAAGCAGACTAATCACCGGAAATATTATAAATATTAAAGATAATGCTGAATATTTTCTTGCATTTAAGCATAAGAGACAGATAGTAAAATGCAAAAGATAAAAGTTTAGAAAGTCATTCCTTTGAATCATCGCTATATTAAGTGTTCCGCAGTGCCCAACTTACATTCTTCCTCGAATCTGTAGATAGAGCTTTAAGTTTTTACCGCATTTATGAACAATAAAGGGGCTACTTAGTCCCTACTTGTATTTGCACAGCAACTATATAGGTATTCTCCCAATTTTTTAACTTGACAAACCATCAAAAATTTTCAAAATAAGTTTACTTTTTACCCCTAGAGCCCCCCCCATGAAATTCCCCCCATTGCAATATTGAAATTCAGGAAATATTTAGTAGGATGATTAATATTGTCACCAATAAAACTTATATAACTTGAACAGACTGATAAAACAATCTCCAGAAAAGAGGGAAAAGCTGCAGCTTAGATTAAATATTGCTTCACTTAAGATTTTCTTATAACTGTCAAACAACCGTATCCTCCCATGCATGCACTGGTTCCAAGTCAAATTTCAGCAAATGAGACTTCGCCTTGAGATTCCTGCATCATCCTATTAAACATCTACATATCTACCAGCTGAACTGCATGAGCATCTTGAGGATTATATTTTGATCCCAATTAAAGGCCATATCCAGCGATTATAAATTTCTTAAGGAACAACATTAGGGAAAAGCTGTGTTACTATGATGTCAATAATTAGAATTAGTTCATAATTGCATCGTTATAAAGCCAAATGCCAAAGGATTAAACCTTAATAATCAAGCTCAACCAATAACAAGACCATTATGAAAACCCTTAATTATTGACAGTTTCATAAATAACAAAATTTCAATGCGTAGCATTAGCTTCATAATGGCCATGTCAAACAGTCAGCCAGAATGTCTGAATCTGATAAAGACCGATCTTTCTCGTAATGGATGTGTTTTTTTCAAAATGGCCGAGTTTTCTATCCATAATGTCATGGAGAAAATCAACTCTGAATTAGAAGTGGAAATGCGCCCAATATTGCACATTAAATTAAAAATGCTTATTATAAAACTCATATTGAATCACAAATTTCTGAACCTTACGCCAGACTAAGATAAAAGACAAAAGTTTTTTGTTGGAAGCAACCTTTATTTCCCTGTGACTTCGAATGAGTTGCCAAGGTAATGACTACAAATTCTGTTAAATGTTAGGAAACCCTAAGCCATGCAATTTCTGAATAATTAACATAAAAAAGCCATTCTTTTATGCAAATGTTTCGGCTTCTTTAAAAAAATAACAGAACTTTCCCTTGAAGCCAACACAACGTAAATTAGACCAAACTGTTCTACTATGATGCCAGTCAAAGAGTTTTGTATTTTTAACTCATCAACACATTGCCACTGCTACATCAAATTGTATGTATATACGTATTAAATTCAAATGAGAAGAAAATTTGCTTTGTATTATTACACTTGTGTGATAAATTCATTTAATTACAAACAAAGGCATTTGAATATTCAGTTAAATATTTCATATTTGCAGATCAAAGGTTTTGTTATCCAGATATTTTTCAAATTCTTAATATGACACAAAATAGCTAGGCCTTTGCCATTTTAAAATGAGGCAATAGAAAGTAATCAGAAGTTGCCATGATGTAAAAATAATGTTATTCAGTCAATCACTGATAAAAATGTAGAGTAATTCATTGTAATTGTTAAGGAATAAAAATAATTGTGACTTAATTACTTACTTTTTTAAAAGTAATTTGCCCAAGGTCTGATTATGTCCAGTGAAACTCTAGTCCTATAACATAAGACGTTTCCGTTAGTACTACGTACACTCCCGTAGTACTTACGGAAACGCCTAATGTTATAGGACTACTGAAACGTTAAATTTGTGTGGTTTGTTTCTACAGGTAATGACCACTACCACAGTTATCCTTACTCCAAACATTACTAAATAGTAAGAAGCTGAGTCTCCCTTAAACTACCCCCCCCCCCAATTTTTACTGGAACATAGCCCTTTCTATAATTACCATTACCACCACTATCACTAATAGGTAGAGGCAGAACCTAGGTTCCCAAGACACTCAGCATCAACGGCAACATTATTTAATCTGAGAGCGAGCTTCGCTTATAGCCTCAAGCGCATAATCAATAGGCAGAGTTGTAGGACAGTCATCGGAAGACTGGTATGATTGCTTATCAGTTCTAAACCACCACTAACCCACCACTACTCTCTAATCTACATGCTTTTTCTGCACTTATCCCCCAAATAATATAGACAAATTGTACTGTTGGTATTCAAAGACCGGTGATTTGACTTCTTGGATAGTGTTGGGATCACTAATGTTAATTTTAAGCCACTCCTAATAGTCCAAATCTAACTTGTTATAAAACAAGCCACGCTAACAAATGCTATGGACTTTCTCAGCTCAAGCATATAACCTGTTTGCCAAAAACTTTAAATATTCACCTGGTCTTCAATTAAGTTTCAGCTGGTCTTGTGGGATTTGAAAATGAAAGCGTTACAGTTGCCTTTGTTATTGAATTTCCAAAGCTCAAAGTACCGATAGCATTCACCAACCTATGTTCAAAGTCAAATGAGATCATGGCATGATACGCTCATTGCCTTATTGTTCTGCAGTGGAATCCATAAAAAACCTAAAATCAATAGGAATGTCTCAACGTCAAGCTATTCCTGTGAAGTCAAAGCATCCAGGCGTGAGGGATTCCTCACACATCCGCCATTTTGTTTTGGAAAAAAAGAAAGAAAGGTTCGATTGACCTATTAAAGGGGGCATAACACAGTTTCGGTTCTTTAGTTTCGAATTGGCCAGGTCAAATTTACAAATAAGAGACCATTTTGTAATTGAAATGGATATTTAAGCTTCTAAATATTAAAAGTTGCTATATTTCAAGTTTCAGTGGCTAGTATTGTGTTTCAGGTATCAAGTAAATTTGATTTTAGTGGTGTTTGACCCATACATTTTGGGGAGTATCTGTCAGATTCGAATGTATTATCCATGAAGCTAGCTCGGAAATCAGCTCTTCAATTAACAAAGTATGCAGAAGAATTAAACTAGTGAATAAGGTAGGTGCATGTCTCCCCGTTTGTATGTTATTTTCAGATTGTGCATTGTTTAAGAAGGAATTATGAAACACTATATAGCTTGTGCTTTAATTTTTTCACTTTAATATATTTTTATTATTTTGCGAATAGG